GTTTTCTTTGCATTTTTAATATTTCTTCGAATTTTATAATACATTTCATTTGCGCTGATTATATTGAGTTCCATTTATTAATTTTTAATAAAATTTGTAAACTTTCGCGTTGCATTGTATTAGATTGTATGAAACGGGTATTAAAGAGATAGATTGATAGTTAGGTTTTTCATCTACCTATATTTTCCAACATTTCGGCCGGGTTACCTGGGAAAAAAATTGGACGGTGGAAGTGGATTCCACTTCAAGAGAGGAGACGGAGCATCGCAGCAACAGTCAGCCTGTGACCACGGTCGGTGTAACCCGGTCGAAACGTCAGGAATTACAGGTGAAAAACCTAACTATCAATCTATCGCATTAATGCCCGTTTCATGCAATCTACTCGTAATTTAATAAAACTTGTTTGATAATTATTATTTTTGTACTGGAAGCGATACTCTGATTTTGCATCCAAGGTAAAAATAAAGAAAAAGGAGGTTCTATGTTAAAAAGGTGATTGTATGTATTATAAGTATAGTCTTTCCTTTACTGTGAATCAATTTTCAAATTATCTATTAATCAAAAGTATATTGTACCCGCGTGTTTTCATAAATTTTTATTATAATAGGAACAGCTAAAATATTTAATTTAATATAAAATAAGATAAAGATATAGTCAAAGTAAACAAAATCTCGTATTTAGTTTGACTATAATTTTTGTCATTTTAACTTCTTTTAATATCACTGACAATACAGAATTAAACTTGTTTAAATAAACAACCTACACAAGGATTGCCCTGAATTTGATCATTACTTGAAAAGAGTATCACATGAATAATATCTCATATTTTGGTAGAGTAAGACTTATGTTGGTAGTATTTAATTATTATTAACAATCAGGTTCTTATCAAGTAAACATTAAAGCCATCGAAATATGCGACTCAGAACCTAGAACAGCCTCAAAAACATCGTCGAGCGAAGTGCTGTCATACTAGGTCTATGATGAAAGAGTTATACAACGACTAACAAGTTCAAAGCTGTATTTTAATAGGATAGTATGTCTGAATTATGCGAATAAGATGCATTTCGTTGTATATTGATATTTAGTAAGAAAACTTAGTAGTAATTACACAAAACATTTGCAGCATTGAACTTAAACTTAATTCGTTCTATCTGGGCAACGCCTGTACAAAGTTTTATTGTGAACGAGTCATTATCTTACCTGTTTTAATCAATATGCAAACTTTAAGAGACTTCGATTGCGCCCGTTGGATATTCATGGAGAATCGAAGCTAATAAAGTTTTTTGTTTTGTGAGGGAGCTCATTGACAATGTGCCGGTTCACTGTCATGCACATCGAAATAGCTTTAAGTGGATTTACTCATATTTTATCCTCAATATTGTATCAGGAAAAAACAAGTTATCGCTACCAAGCATAACTCATTTGCTGTAGCACAGATATTCCTCGTAGAAAGGAAGAAAGGAAGGCACAGAATTCCTCACTGCAGCATGGGTAGTGTATTGAAATAATATCTTCAAAAACGGCACAAATAAAATTCTTGAATTCTTTAGTCACATAAGTAATTTAATATAGTATATTTAGTGAAACCATAAAATTATTATAAAAAAAACATAGTTATTTGGTGAGAAAAGCGCAAAATGCAAAAAAGATTATAAAAGATTAAACTTATAATTTGCTTTGCTTAGCGATAGGTATCATAAAGATAGCCACGCCCGACCGCTGAACCACTTAAGAGTTTCGTGCCTCAACACGTAGCATGACTGAAGAATTATTCATGTGACTCTAGAAATGCTCGAAAGACTCGATAAACGAGTCAAAAATGAGAAATGACCAATATGCCCATACAATATCTCCATCTTGGTCTTGTTTTAGCCCGTTTCTCGAATCTCTCGAGTTCGTTATACTATGCGGACTATTGTAGTCAGGATCTGAATCACGGAGAAGCTGAGATGATTAAATTTTATTCACGCATTCGATTATCAACCAATGCGAATGTTACTTATGTGTCGTAATGGATCATTTACAATGGCCGACGGGACCTATATCAGGCTTATTTCATTCGACAAGCCAATGACCCATGAGAAAAAGGCATAGTTACAATAATATCCATTAATATTCTCTTTACAAGTGTACAACGATTAGTTTAATAATACATACTTTAACTTAAACTTGTAATGTGGGAAACTGGTGCCTATAAATTATACAATAGATGTCTATACTAACAGATCACCTATATTATACGTAGTATAGGCCTATATTACGTAAAAATAGTTAACGAAGTATGTTGTACAGCCACTAAGATGTACTCAATTTTTAAAAACAATTTTGATATTATCCAGATAATTTTAGTATCTTAAGTACAACATTTTAATTCACAAATTCCATTAACAAATGCAATATAGTTCGAACTACCCATTCATCAATATACATTATGAATACTACAACATATTTTCACGTATCCACCAAATATAGAACAAAATCAAGTGCCCATGACCACTGTGTGTTATAAATTACTTGACATTGACACAGAAGTAATTGATAAAGTGTGTCATAATATAATTTGCATCAAATCGCATAACATGTAGGTAATATCATAAACGAATTGGAAACGGAACTATGTTAAACAATATTATGATTTATTAATTGCTAGCTGTTTTCCCGTGACTTCGTCCACGTAAATTATAGCCAGCGTCCACTCGCGTATTGATATTACTTCTTATAATAAAGGTTTTTGCACGGTTCTTCTAATCACAATCAGTGGTGTCTTGTTTCCATCATGGAAATCAACCAAAGATTGATGGAAACATTATATCATTTATTTCTTGGATTATACACCTATATCATCTTAAATTGTCTCTAAAACAAAGTCTTCAATCAGTGTATGTAGCCAGTGATAACTTACGGAAGCGAAACGTGGTCGTTCACTATGGATCTCATAAGAAGGCTCAAGGTCACCTAGTGAGCAATGGAGAGAGCAATGCTTGGTATCTCTCTACGTGATCACATTAGGAATCAGGAGATCCGTAGGAGAACTAACGTTACTGACATTGCTCAGCTGAAGTGGCAGTGGGCAGGACACATAGCGAGAAGAACTGATAGCCGTTGGGGCAGAAGAGTTCTGGAATGGCGCCCACATACCGGATGACGTTCAGTGGGTAGGCCTCCCACCAGGTGGACCGACAATCTTATAAAGGTTGTGGGAAGCCGCTGGATGCGTACAGCGCAGGACCGATCGCCGTGGAGATCTATAGGGGAGGCTTACGCTCAGCAGTGGGCGTCTAACGGCTGATGATGATGATGATCATCTTAAATATAACTCGTTCGAATAAAAATGACACCAGAAGGACTATTCTATTAATCCGTGAACAAACATATCGGAAAATCATATTCGTGAAGATTTTGTCTGAACATCATCAGCAGTGTCAGATCCAACATTCGTTGCATTTTAATAAAATAACAATACGATTCTATGGAGTCGTATAACCATTTCGGAAATATACGGAATTTCATTTTCGGAGAAACAGAATAGTTTTTCAGGTGTCATGTAATTCGTACGACTAGTTAAAGTTTTACTTACTATTATATCAATATGATACTTTTTAACTTTCACGCAATTACGTCACTATTCTACAAATAGGTCTATTATCTCCTTAGCTAAGTGTTAGAAAGTAATGGTCGGTGCATAGTGATTACAGTCTACATAATTTAATATGAAGCTAAGAGCTAATTCATTACTTTTACGTAAAACCTTCAAAGCGAGGTTGTACGAAATTACTACTTTTTAAATCAATTTAATTCTAAAGCTTTGTTAATATTTGTCAAATAAATATCATCTTATGAAAATTAAACATACGATCGATTGCTAGCTAAAAACAGAATCATAAATTAAATAATTGGCTCGATAGAAGAAAAACGCTAATATGACTTTAAATAGGTTTTTTTTGGTTTGATTTTACGACCAGTATATTTTATGTTAATTATATACAAAATAAATACAAAAATAGGTATTGATATATTCATTTGATCACAAAAAAATATTGTTTTATAACTGCATTTGTTCTTTCTTCTGTAGGAGCTCGTCTTTACTCTCGATACGTACGAGTATTTGTATAGGAACGTAAGCGGAGTACAACAAGCCAGTTGTCTCATTTAAATTCTGTTTCATTCATGAATTCACACATAAATTAATGTTAGTAACTATATTAATCCTAATATGGAATACCGAAAGACCTTCTTAAACTGTTGTTCCTGATAGGGTAAAAAAGGTAAATTAAATAAGTTCAGCAAATTTGCAATCTGCTTGCGGATTCACGTGCTATTTTCTGAGTATTTTTTTTCTAGAACAATTAAAAAATAAATCTGTATTTTATAATGAGGATATTATTCCATATTTGATTACTTTCCTTTACTGAAAAATCTTGTTAAACCTTATTTGCTAAAAATGTTTGAAAAAAAAATACCTACTTTATTCCTACATCTTGCTTATCAACAAGTTTTCTTTTTCTCGTATTTCTTTTTAATAGTAAAATATATATATAAATATGAAAGCTACAATTTTTGAAACTATTTGAAGCAATTTTACGCATTTACGCTAATTACTAATTCAACTTTATCAATAACTAGATCTCTGCTAGCAGGTCCCATGTTCGAGACAAAACCATGCGAGTGGTTATTATTATCTCTAAGGAACCACTTAGTGGTATAAAAAGCAACCCATATGTTATGTTGATCAAGAATTAGCTTTATCCGTACATCAAATTTCATTCAACAACGCTCAATAGTTTTTGCGTGCAAGAGTAACAAACATACATACATCCACACAAACTTTCGCGTTTATAATATTAGTAGGACAATTTTGACACTTGTGATTTCACATAATGCACCACTTTATCATCTCTCTCTCGCTCTTTATTTGTTTGATTGGCTACAATTGCAATTTCTATTCAAATAAGCATTTTTGACAGCCATGTATATGCCAATTTATAATATTTCTTTTTCAGGTGACTCGCAAGTGAGTTATTTGTACGCGAGACGCAAGTTTCAACTAAATGAGGTGGAGTACAGTATCTATGGAACTGCAAACATCCTCCTTGGTTTGATAGGTAAGTTGAATTCACTTCAGTATACGTTAGTTACGCCAATAAAATAAAGTAAAATTTAAAAAAAAAAATTTGGTACTTTTTTGGTGATGATATTTTTATTCGTCTTCTCCATAGTGTGGGGCATCGATGGATAGGTCTTTCAAAAAACTTTGGGCATGTGGCTGTTTTTAGATGTTTGTGACTTATTAAGCTATATAAAGCAAATTTTTGTTAGAGCCAAGTGTCTCCCCTCTACCAAGCAATAAAAATTCAAACGTTACAGTAGTAGTACGAAGTCAAAAGGAAAACTACGATACTTATGTTGGCATTACAAGTTTACGAGTAATAGTCGACCAATTGTATTTACTCCATAGAAAACAAAAAACCTGTTTTTATACTTTTTATAATGAATAACAGTACGGAACTCTTCTTAATGTTCGACTTTCACTTGGACGGTTTTTTCATATTCTTAGATTTATATAATTGATAACGCCACAGTTACAAGATAAAACGTATTTACATCAACTTTTATTGTTTATAACGGCAAGTACAAAGCAATGCTCTTTTATCTAGTGTTTATAAAATAAATATTTTAATTCATTTCAAGAATAGCATAAGTCATTAAAAGTGAGTGAGAATCAAAATATTTATATCTGGAAATATAAGTATTAGAGTTGATGCGAGTTTACTAGAACAGATACACGTATAAATATTTAAGAATACTAGGCGACACTTATTCAACTAAGAAGTCACATAAGCATTTATGAGGTATTCTTATTATTTTTTCTGTATTTACTATTTTCGACTTAAACATTACACTAGTAAATGCAAGCCTTAAATAAAGGATTAGTACTTGAAATATTGCTTAAAATTGTAAGAACGAATTTGAATCTTATGTGTTTTTTGTATTTATAAAATACTCAATACACTAGCTGTATCTAATCTGACCAATTAATACGTTTACTAATATTAATTAGGTGGATAAGATATTTGGATCATAGTATTAGATCATACTAGAAATTGGTGTACGTAGTCTCTGTACTTAGTATAACCCAACACTAAAATTTATTCTAAAACCGTACTGGGTAAAACTGAAAACACATAACTGCAAACACCACAAAGTTCAGACTTGCGTTTATTCAAGAGACTATATTCACATTAATATATAACTACACACATATGAATGCACGCACAAAGACAGACACTTAGAAATCCACTATACATCGTAAAACGTTTTTATGAAAGGGTGAAAGGGTCAAACCTACGTAACGTATCCTTCTGCCCTTTCGTAGAACCCTTGGGAGTATATTTCGATATAATTAAATAATAAAAAAAATCTCAGTCGGTAGTCGCTGGATACTTGCGTATCTTTATTTATGTAAGCAGCAAATCCAAACTAATATTAGAAATGTAACACTGTATGTGTCCCTTACGTTTTAACGGTAGTGGTTAAGCCGTTAAAACGTAAGGGACACATACAGTGTTACATTTCTAATATTAGTATGGATTTGCTGCTTACATAAATAAAGAATTTTAATGAAATTTGGTATATTGATAGAGTGGAACTTGGAAAAGGACATAGGATAGTATTTATCACGAAAAATTGTCTTAAAGTATTTCGAGCGAAACTGGGGGTGGAATGCTAGTTATATACATATATTTTAGTTGCCTTATTTTGCTGGTTTAAATATTAATAATAACTTTATTTCTCACCGTAAATAACATTACAAAAGGGTGTACGTTTTTATTGCCAATTTATTAAAGTTGAGTTCAGTTTTCGTGGGAGACTGGTGCCCGTTAAAGTTCAACCCTGTATTACAGGTCATTGAAAATACGCTCTGTAGTTTCGGAAAAGTAACAAGTGCATGAAAAATTCGTCAGTCCTGTTAGATCCTGGGAAGCTCAGTGGTTAGAGCAGTCGCCCGGATTGCGAAAGGTTGTGGCTGCGAGTCCCATCTCAGGGTGCCAGGGCAAAGTAGATTTTTTAAGCAAAATTGATCAAATACAATTATTACATATTTTGTTTTAATCCTTTTTATTCTTATTATAACCACTGTTAAAAACATAAATATGATGTATACTCTATTACTCGTTCGTTATTTTTTTAATGTGAAATTAAAAAACAGGCCACCAACAAAGTGCAACAAAGTTGTTTATTGCTGTCTGTACGCTGACATCTTTTAAGCTACACAACAGATTATTAATGCGGTTTTCAGCTACAGATACATCAGCGGAAAGCTAGTTATCTAAAAAACCCGCCAAAATAAAACTATTTTTTTAATGAACTCTATTTGAATATTTATTTTATTCTTATTTTAATATTTTCTTTTATAGTTGCAACAGAAATAAATCACTGTGAAAATTTCAACTGTCTAGCGGTCACGGTCTAGCATACAACCTGGTGACTTTCAGACGAACAACGTTATCTTACTAATTATGTCCCGTTTTTATCTACTTTCTTTACGTTTCCTACCCTTTGTTTACAAAACCCCAAAAGTCATGCACTGATTAGCTTGCCTGAGAAAATAAATAGGGCAACTTGATATTATTAAGGAACTAAAATCATGAGGAAGGGAAATTTTCTTATGATGTTGAAATATAGAATTTGACCTTTTTGACATTACATTATTGTTCTACTGGATGACCGATACACTAAGGACCTACATTGTCATATTTTCGTTTGCCCAAAATAAAAAGAGTCGATTTGTCAATTCAGTCGTGGCTTTATTAATGTGTCGCTGTATCGAATTGTGCCCAAGTGGCCTTTCTTCATTGATACAGAGAGTTTCGAAATAAAATTCGGTCAATAATCAATTAAGTACAGTTGCGGTCACATTCATAATAATTAAAGCAAACTAATGGTTTATATATTGAATAATTTGAATTTTAGTATACGTCCTTTTTTCGTGAATATATTAAATAGCATTCATGGTCGTCTGTCTCAGCGTCATCGGCGTGTCTCATCGATACTCGCCGTCTAGAAATGGTAAAAATTTATTGGGATATAAAACCTTATAATTTGTTTGTGCCTAGGTATTATTATCCTAAATTCTGATTATGTATTTTGGATATTTACAAATGTATTAAACTGGTTTTTTCTACGATTTCATCCGCTTTAATTATAATCAATGTTACCCGCGTATGATGGAGCTTTCCGTAGGTGAATGAATTTTCTAAAAATAAAATTAATATAATAAAACCTGTCAAATTTTTTTGTTATTTTGCGATATAAAGACAAGAACTCTATTTAAAATGCTGGTATTTAGCACTACTGATACAGAATAAGCCTCTGATTATTTCTTCAAAAGAACACGCATATTATATATTATTGACGTACTGGAAAATATGATTTTATTTATCTGGCTACAATCTCATAGGGCGATGATGTTATGTTTAAGATTCAAGTGCATTTGAGATAAGATTGGAAGTTATCATTGGTGAACTTTCAATGTAGACATTTATTTTATTCCGTGTAATTTAAGACTGATATCATATAAAGTCAAGGTTATTGATAAGGAATGCATTTATGAATTGCTATTGCACGGCCGATACATATTAAACTATAGAGCGATTAAAAACTAAGTGATTTCACTTCACGAAACATATTGTTTTTTATTTCTAATAAAATACTTAAATATTCAATAAAATCAAACTTATTTTAAAAGATAATTAAGATTTTACTTTGTTAAAGCTCTAGAAATAGCTGGATAGCGCAGTGGTGAGTGCGCTCGGTGTGCGAAACAAATGTTAAGCACCTTTCGCAAGGGCCTAGGATAGGTGACCAAAATGTATTATCTCGAATTCCTCCGTGCTTCGGAAGATTGGATTCGATTTTATCCAAAGGGAAGGTCGATGAAGCTCTATGCAATGACATAGCTGTGCTCAACATCAAGTTCGAGGTTGTTTTTTGCAGAATAGCATAGCCGTATCTATTATAGAAAAATCGAAAACAACTGCCGATTCCTGGATCATTTTGTTAATCGTATATATTCATTCCCAGGTACAGTCTTCTGCATCTCCGTTCTCAGCAAGAAACTCCGAGTGCAGGATAGTGCTATTGGTATTGTGGCGGGTGTGAGCAGGATAGCTGCCTGTTTCGTTTTCACATTTGCACCATCAAGACCCTGGTATTACTCAGCACCAATCTTTAACATATTCAGTCACACTGGCTTGACTGCTGTCAGATCAATAGCTACTAAGTGTGTACCAACGGAAGAAGTCGGTAAGGATCTCGAAAAATATTTATATGTATTTCAATAACCCCTACTAATATTATAAATGGAAATTTAACTGTGTTTGATTGTAATGAAATTAGGTACAGAGAAAAGTTGTCCTTGGAAAAGGACATAGGTTACCTTTGAAGTGGTTGAAATAGGGGATAAATGTTTATATGGAAGTTATTACACCACCCGAAGCTACACACTGCAATATTTTATTTGTTCAATCAAATTGCCTGACACAAATACAACTCTATTTCTTGTGAGAACTTCGCAAGTTTCGCATTCATTCATTTATAACATTCGAGTTAAGATGAATGGCCTCAATAATAACTTCAAGAACTTAGATTTCTGTTTCAATGAAGCGATAAATAACTGATTATAATCCAAGTTTTCAAAAGTTTTTCTCACATCCAGCGACAAAGAAAGATCGCGATAAAATCTATCGCCAGCTTTTTTACCCTGAAAAGATATTTTCTTTTTATTCTTGGAATATTATTCCGATTTCAACAGTGTGATATCGATAGTTGCCGTTCCACTTTAAAGAAAAACATGAATACTAACATAAATTTACAGTACAATCAGCGCCATTATTGCTATAAAGTAATTTATTCCGGGTAGCCTCGGTGGACTTTTTAGGTTGGACTGGATAATATTTTTGGTATCATGTAGTTGTATCATGTTTTAACACGCTACTTATTAAATAAAATTATTTTTAAATAGTTTTTTTCTTGCTGAAACCATTCAAAAGTAGTTTTATAAGGTCAATTAAGAAATGAACTTTTCAATATTGTCTCGGTTCTAAATGTTGTGTTACCTTTGTTGTCTCAGATACTCCATAATACGGGGACTTAGCTACTCATCTTGCTATCTTAGCTAAGTCTATGATGTTGTCCAATATTTATTATATTGTATTATTATTAATAATAATAATCATTTATTTATTTCCTTCACAGCAAGAAATCAATTGTAGAGTTTATGTTAAAGTAGAATGTATGTATTTATTCCAAAATCATTCACTAGTTCAACTCAGTGATGCTTTATTATGATTGTTCCAAGAAATAAAAGCAATAGGTACTATGATTTATTTACCACAAGCCTACTAGGCGCAAAAGTACGGAATGTTGGGTGTTGCAAATGCAGATGCAGCCGGAACTAATGGCTTAACGTGCCTTCCGAAGCAAGGTGGCATTCGCATTAGACAATTTTTGGCCACCCATCATATGACTGGCCCAGGCGAAAGTTGCTTAACAATCATAGGACCTAATGTTTTTACTTTTTGGAATAATCATAATAGAGCATGACTGGGTTTAACTTGTAAATTATATTTGAATAAATAGTATGTATCTACTTTAATATAAGCTGTACGATTTGGTTTATTATAAAGAAGAAAATGTGATTTTCGATAAAATTAAATTTATTTTATTTACGAGAAAAAATTAAAAATACGCGACCTTTTGGAAAAGCAATTCTTCAAACGATTATACATTAATCGATCTCCAGAATCCAATATAAATATGCGATTGTACGAATAATCAAGATGTTTATTCGCATATTAAATTTAAAACAAGTTTTAATGCCATCTATGTATCCGTCATTGACCAACCTTATGATTATGTATCATTTTCCATCATCTGTATGCACATTTTTAATGCAATGAAGTAGGAAAAGCCAGTATCGAAACGCAATTGCATATAAGTTAGCGCATTCGCTGTACTATTGCGAAAGTTGAATAACTTTTGCAAACGCCTGTCATCGAGTGGCTGCCCAAGATGTATAACCTTGTACTTCTCTGAGCTTAGGCAGACACATTAAGGGTTAAGCTACATCTGTATTACAGCATTGCTTTTTTTGTCACTCAAAACTGACTTACTACAGCGAGAAAGATAGCGGGTGAGCTATGTCGCGAAATTCTCGAAGCAGTATATAACACTTCATTTTTTTGCTGTAGGCTCGACCCTAAACCGTTGATCAGACTGAATCAGACTATATATGGCACAGAAACTTTCTGAGTCCTGTGGCATTTGCAATCGTACCTATCTAGGAATCTGCACTTGTGCATGGAGTTATGCCATGCTCTTCCAATTTCTATGTATAGGAAATCTTAAATCCCAACAGAGAAGCTATGTAAAAAATAAGCTCTAAAGAGTATAGGCGTCATCTATCAAAAAGGTAACGAAACAAATAATTATTATTAAAGCATTCATACACTGATATGTCTTTGATTTAAGTATGTTGATGGGGCCTAAATTCTGTATAGGCGTCATCTATCAAAAAGGTAACGAAACAAATAATAATTATTAAAACATTCATACACTGATATGTCTTTGATTTAAGTATGTTGATGGGGCCTAAATTCTGTCTGAACTACGCTAACATTAGCAGGAATGAAAAGTAACTACTGGAGGCAAAAGTTACTAGTGGTATTTTAGGTAAGTTTTGTTTTTTTTTTTCTAGCTAAGCTTGGTGCATTACTGGGCGTGACAGAAGCCCTTGCCCCATCGATCTACATGCCAGCATCAAGTTACATTTACGTTTCAACAATTGACACTTTACCGGGTGCATTCTACTTATTCGACGCCTCACTTACGGTGTTCGCACTTGGATTATTTACGTAAGTTTTCACACATTAAATATAAAAAGAACATGGTGCAAGTAAATATTTCTTTCGTTTAATTATTTTTAATTAATAATCCATAAAACAGAAAACCAAACGGCAATTACCAGCTAATAGCTCGTCTGACCTCTAGCTTGCGTCACACTCTTAGGGATTTAGATACACATATATCAGTAGGTACCGCCAAGAGGAAATTGATGCATATTAGATAGCTTGCACCAAACGGCAATCACCAACTAATATTAAGCACGCCTGCACTCCGGCTCGAGACCTGACCCACGCGGATCAATTTCATGTATTTAGTATGGGTGTAATTAAGCCTCGTCCACAGTGTCGAATGTATGATAATTAGTACTCACCCCTGGCGCCACGAATGTCGGGCTAAATATAATTAACAGTTTACATTGGTACATATAACGACACTTCACGTCATCAAAGATCAAGTCAAGTGCATTAAAGATTACAAGATACTTCATTTCCTGCATTACGTGACTTGAATTAATTAGATCAAGGATATCGAAGTACGTGTTTACTGTTATATAACATTACTGAGACATGTCAATAAACAATAATGGATTCCGGCTGCAAAGATATTTAAAATCGAATCCTAAAAAAATTTTTAAATAGCAACTTAAGTTATTTACACAAACACCAAGATAATTAACTCAGTCAAGAAATTAAGTGCATATGTATTACACAACATTTAAATTTGCCTTGATTTATAACATTAATCAGGTGCTAATATTGTATTCAAATAACCTTGTTTGACGAATGAAGCTTTAGTAGATTGGAAGTTGCAAACTCTCATAATGGTATTTCTAAAACCATAAATGGTTTTAACATTTCAACTTAACCCGAGTTTATAAAGTATAATTTAAAAAAAGAGAATAAATGCGCATAAGTTCACATGTGTATTATCCGATCAGATTGCCTATCTATAAGTATTATTTTTCTTTGTCTTTAAGCTTTCTTTAACTAGAACTTAAACATTAATTTTGAATATTTTTCTTTCTTTAATAATGTATGTAGAAGTTATTTTAAAAATATTTAAATAAAACTAATAATGTAAAAAATATTTATATATACTTTAAATAATATGAATAACATTCTTTATATAGAAAATGTCGCTTCAGCATTGATTCATCTTTTTACTAGAAACATCGTGAAATTAATATTACAATAAATAAAATTTCTGGATTCTCTTTTTTCTGACTTTTTGCAAATGAACATTTTTGTGACGGAAAGTGACTTCATTATTGAATTCACTTTCAATAAAATTTATCTGTGTGAAATAAAACAAGGAGAAAAAAGAAGCCCTTGCTGAGTTTTTGAAGTTTCTTTTCAGTACAAAACCTCCAGCCGTAGATTTGCGAACCGATGGCATAATTCTCGACTTTCATAGGTGCTTGCAACAACCTAAACTGAATATATGTTATTGAATTTGAATTTGTAGACGTTCACGCATATGTCAAATTTAAAATCAAGTGGACAGATTTGACATATTTGTATAACCTGACGTGCAGTTGACTATGCATTATGATTTCTTTTAAACTTATATTTTTGTTTACAGATTCATGTACATATTAGTGAGGAGAAGACAGAAATCTTCGGTCTCAGATACGGAGAAGAAAGAAGAGTATGCGAGAACGAATGAAGTTTCAAGATTTTGAATGAGCAATTTGAAATTATCATTGGAATTGCGTTCCGATGATTTTCAAGTGTTAATCTATTAGATGTATTTTCTATTTGATCTTATTATCAGCTGTTGTTGTATATTATTCGTTCATTTAATTGTAAGTCAATATTACTTTAGTGATGATAGCCTTTAAACCTTTGAAATTTCCCAACACTTATTCTGACCTCGAATACGCATTGGTGCAACATATTACGCGGTTTATATTCCTTATAAACTTTCTTGTAAGTTTTACAGACTCATTGGATACCATTCATGGCTAAATCGACAGCTACCAAAGCAAATGACAGAGAGATTAGTCTGATCTTAGCATCGTAGCTGGCGGTCGAATGTGATAATAGTGACTCATGACTTGATTTTTCTTAGAAGCGGCGACAGTGACTTTTGTCAAGTGTTATTGTTTGACATGTTTTCATTGGTTGCACTACCGGAGTCACTGCCATGGCATTCTAATGAGATGTAGTCCTTAAATCATTAGATCTAGAAATTTGAAAAGTGCAGAGATGGCGTTTATTTAGATTCACTTATTATAATATGAATTTAGGGACCAAAAGAGCCGTTGAAAGCTTAAAATCGATAAATTATTAACTAAAAAGTTAATTGTACAATACGATTGAACCAATTATAATTAAATTTTAAATTAATTATAATTTATTACTATTAAATCACTGTAGCAATTTTCACGCGACCTTTTATAACCTCAAAATACGGGGGTTTCTAAGAAAACTTTATTTGTTACTAAATTTTCCTCGAATAATGTAAATGCCAATAAAACATCTATCTTTATTATGAAAATATTTTTTATTGATTGATTTGTAAACATATTCACTGTAACTGGCAAAAGTTAGATTAAATAATCGTCTTAGGTTTAGATTCTTTGCCCCACATAATCAACATTTTTACTGATCTGAGATTATTTCTGCTATCTAGGGTTAATATATATCTGGCGGAATATTTGTCTATATATATTTGTATATCATACGTTGGTGAATAGACACTTTTACAATAAGGTATTTAAACACTCGACGAATGAGCCGTCAGTCACTGACAGTTCTAAAGCGGGGAATTCAATAGGCGGGTATGGCCACGGGCAAGTGTATAGACATGTTTACGGAACCTTGCCACTATAGTATAACATTTGTATAACACTATAGAGTATCGAGGTCCAGCGAGCATGCGTGCAGACTTGTTTGAGGGAATGCCCGTCAAGTGATAAAGTGATACTTTGATGAAGATCATAAGATTTTTCCTAAAGGAAAGGTGCCATTTTCTTTAATATTAATTCTTATTATATTTTTGTCGCAAATTAGTCAATTAATCGCTTACCTTAGAATGGCGAACACCGCGTACAACATTCTGGAAAACTCTGATTTAATTGATACGCTCAACGGAATTTCTTACAGATTAGCATTGACAGTTATAATTAGTTTTATGTAAAAATTAAATATCACATTAACGTATGTCACCTAAAGATGTCACAGATGGCATTCGAATGCTGTTATACTTTTGGAATTGACTTTTAAATATATTTTTGAAAAAATTTAATGCAGGAATATCCTCAATTAAATAATTATAAAAATCTCAAAAGTTTAATTTGTGATATGAACGCCATCTATTGATACTACATAAACTCCACTACGATGATAAATAATGCGAGTGTTAACTTGATTTGAGACTGAGGTACAAACGACAATCGTCATGGTTAATCTAAGTTACCCATTAGAATTAGAATTATTTTTAATATTACTATTGTTATGTTACAATTAATTAGTGCGATTGTTAAAATATGTGCAATAATATATTTTATGATTTATATCGAGAGTTATTTTATTTATCTTATTACAATATCGAATTCTCTCCGAAACCATGAACGGCTAATGGTTCTGAATAACTCTTTACTCAAATTCATATTTTCAAGTCGCTCTTTTTGATATTTGAGTTCGCCGACAATCTTTCATCCACTTAATATTGATATAACTTCAAGTTAAGGATGTCAATAATCAAAACGCTAAAACTACCATAACTTGATTATAATGTCTTCTTGGCTTATTGTGTGACGTGTCACACTAAAATCTCTGAAAATGCTGAATTAATAAAGCAAGAACAAGCTGAACGTCAAGTTGTTTTGGATATCGGTTATGGTCTTACTCAGAATGCGTAGCATTATGAGCTCAAAAAAATTTTCTACACGCAAATGTCACTTTTCTCTGGTGCGCCAATATAATATCTCACTTTTGATCTAAGAAAAATTACGTTTGGTGTAGACAGTGTTTTTCGTGTTCGCTACGCAGGCAAGCTGTATTAAGTGCATCTGAAAGTCCAAGCAAAGTAGCATAATAATCAAATATACAGCTCCAAGAAGAACGACGGCATAATTATGAAGGGACTTCAAAAAAACATTGTTTGTATTTAGAAGGCGTGTAAATTTTACTGGCCACTAAAATAGAGCAACTGAACTATTCGATACAGAAATGCGCATTCTCCGCATCAGATACATAGGAAGATTTTCTTTATTTAGTTACCACTACAGGGCTGCCCCAACTGTGAGAACGTTCATAATAATGAGGATAATTCACAACTGGGTGAAGACTAGTGTTTTTTTTTTTATTATGATAAGTTTAAATCTCCAGCATAGTAGGAATATAAAAGAATCAAAGTAAATTTTATCAATATGATATATGTAAAACAAATCTACAGAAATATGTACAAAAATTGTGTATATAATTCTATGTAAAGATCTGAGATCTAAATAATGTGATGGTAATCTATATAAATATAATTTTATCTCGTCTTAAAAGGCATTATGAAGCAAATAAAAAAACAGAATTAATATATTAATTCCCGCAAATAAAAAAGTGAGTCTTTATACTTAAACTAAGTATTAAGCCGTATCTCTCTATACTGATATCATAAAAAAATGTCTAAATAAGTGTTTTTATCTGAAAAGATGATAATCCTCTGATGTCTAACGACCTCATATTATCAGTTCAAGGTTAATAGCTTATGGACCACATTGACTATTTGAGCCTTTAAAAATATCCAAACATTCACGATTCAATTCGCTAAATAAGACTTTTAAACTGGTAACTAAATCACTTAATTTATTTATGAATACACCAGTACCAGGTACTCGGGTTTTGACGAGCGACCATGAAGATGAGCTTTCGTAATCCGATTGACTGCTCTCATTAATTGTGCTAACCAAGACCTAGCGAGACGAAGTTTCTCACTTCGCAAGCACTACTAGTCAGCGCCTTTTCATCAACGTTCAGGCAATGCACCTAAGCAGCCGAAAAATATTTAATATTTTTGATTGTATGTGCCCTCTCAATCTCACTCGCAATCCAATCTCAATCTTAACCGTATTTTAGGATCTGACACTCATAATTGTTTAAATAATAGCACTGAGAATAAAAAATTGATTAAATATATAAAAAAAATCATAGTAAACTAATATTAAAATAATGCGATGTTACTTAAGCGCAGAACAAATACTTAAAGTAATTTCATATTATATGAAAATTACCGTTCATCGACATAAATATAGACCAAAAACAATTTATTCCTATTATAGGTATTTGATCATTTTCGCATTAATAATGATATATCGAAAAATATTATTAATGAAAAATGCTTGAAAAATCCACTTTGTCCCTGGCACCCTGAGATGGCACTGGAACCCTTTAAAGAATTTACTATTAATAAGTTTTCATGCAATAGAAAATATGATTATCCTCTAATGTTAAATTATGTGACTGTAAATAGATTTTTTTTTTAATGTAATAGTAAACAATCACTTTGACGGTGTATATACAAACAATGCTAATCCAATGGCAAAGAACACTCTTCTTTAAAATTAATTAAATTTTTAACTTCATAATAATAAACTAAGATTAAAATACTGCAATTATAATCTCAAAATAAATATCTGAAATAATCTCATCCTAGTAACACCTCCTATATAATATGACAAGCTTTTTGTTTAACAACGAAGGTCAATATCCGTTTATCTGCGATAATGAAAAACAATTCATAAGAGTGTAACAGCAAACACGATTTCCAACATACCGATTAGATTACCATCAAAAATAGCTTTGCAAACTCTTATCATCAATACATTTGTAGTATTGATTTGGATAACTAAAAGTCTGTTCAATTAATAGGTACGCTCAAAAGATGATAATTGATATTAAACAATTTTATTAGCATCAAGTTATGGGAAATATATCGTTTAATAAACAAAACCAATTCTAAGGGGCCTATGTTATAACCCTGTGACACAATTACTTAATTTATTTTCTCGCGCAAAATCTATCAGAAGTAAACTGAGACAAAAGAAAAAAATCTACTCAAAAGCAACGGTGTTTTAAGACAATTGTAAATTAAACATTTGCAAATCACTTTATAATTAAATGTAGGAGCTGTTTCGCAAAGGTTTGGACATCTTGGAAAACCTTTGGCGTCTGAATTAGATACTGATAAGATCGTTTTCTTTTATTTAAATATATTCCATAGTGGCAAATTAAGATGGTCCATTGACTTCAAGTCATTTGTTGGCACAATCATGTAGCAACCTAATTTGCTACTAAATGTTCTTATAGGCTGTAACGGTGTGCCATGCCACCGTTTGTTTTCCTAGGTTTCAGTATGCAAACTTTTTACTTTTGAAATTCAACATCATTTCATTTTATTATTCGTCTTTCGTAATTTAAAATTTTGACTAATCAATTGTACTCTTTATGGATGTCAGTTCGTAAGAAATTCTCCTATGCACAAGATGAAATTATAATACAATACAATATTAATGGTATAAATTTTACTATGTAATTTTAAAATAATTCATTTATTGTGATAAATAATGTGATATGGTGATACAAATTATATAACATATGTAACTACTAAATTGTTGACGATCCAAAAGTTAACTAGAAGCTCGACAAGGGGTATGTATTCGTTTATTTGATAAGTATGTATTAGTTAAGTAACTTACGAACTGTTTTTATAAATTTATTTTTGTTTGTTACAGTTTTTTCTTATTACCCTTATTTAACTAATAAATATATACTCAAGCTAAGCAGCCTTATTAATTGACCCAAGCACCGAACCCGTAACACTGGCGCCCAACGTGGAAAAACAGAAGGCACTACGTAACGAAGTAGACAAGATGTTGGAA